AAGATCTTTGAATGTTTTAGGTAAATTATTATAAACCTTGATTGCCATACTTCTCTATAGTCTTAAAATTGTCTGTAATTATGTAATTGAAATAATCCCACCGTGATAAAATATTGACACAGCGCGAGCCGCGACTGTATACGATATATTCATTTTGTTGGCGATGAGATCACCAGTTCATTTGCTGTAACGCATCCTATATAATTTAATTAATACTGATATAGGGCTATTACTGAATTTTCCTTTTTGACCAAATGTTTCTTTCTTTGGTGATGAAATAATTTTTTTTAAAGAAAAAACTGTTTGACCGGATTGAAGTTATGTATTATTATAAATTTACAACTATTTAACATAATTTTAAATTTATCCGACGTTTCGCGTGCTTTACAGCGTGCGTGGTCACCGTGACCACGCACGCTGTAAAGCATTAAAATTATGTTAAATAGTTGTAAATTTATAATAATACATAACTTCAATCCGGTCAAACAGTTTTTTCTTTAAATGTGTAAAGGTTATGTAAATCAAAGACAATACTATAATTTTTTTTGTCTTAAATTACAATTTTTACACGCAAAAAACGTATAAAAGTTGCTTTGATAACCTTTATCTCCATTAACTTATTCTACTCTAATTGTTCTTAGGGGGAAAATCAAAAGTTTGAAAGTTGTTTTGAAACTTATACATCAAACAAAGAGTAATTGAAGCTTAACTTAAGGTCAGGTATTTATAGATCATTGACTCTAGGATACGTTTGCATTATAAGCGAAATTTAATAGGAATTATAAATGTAATGTGTTGTTTTTCGCATTAACAGCCGAATGAGGTTACATTCCAAATACATGATTCTCTTATTTCCTTAGCACGTGTTTATCCACATTGGCTACTTGTACATTCACTAACTTGTACTATACTGTACTGACATTCTTTATTAACCTAAAGTATTTAAGAAAACGTTGTTTATAAAGTTCATATCATTTTAAGATTACGTATTGCAAATCTTACTTCATTAAGAATTTCAAAAAACATGTCTCTAACCACCGAATGCTGTAAAACACTCGAATCGTCTAGTTTTAAGTCGTAATTTTAAAACAATAATAAGGTGAAAAACAATGTATAAATCAATGTTATGTAACTATTTACAGCGCATAATATTGAGACATATTTTAACGTGTACTTGCATATCTTATATGTCAGAGAACGTTAATAAATTTTATTAAGCTTCAATCTTCCATCCCTACGGAAATAGTTCAACACGAACCTTTTGAAGAACAGCAAAACAGCAGTAATTCTAATATAGCACATGAACGCTAACCCGGTCACATCACAATTTGAGGCTGTGTTGATTTCGTACGATGTTGAAACTGAAGATAACAGATGCAGACACTCCAAACCTTAGAGTTGTTTACAAGTAACGATTATTTTTTTTTATTGAGTAAGTATATGTATCACGACTGTCATGTTTTTTTTTATTTAACAGGGGCAAACGGACAGGACGCTTGTACCTGATGTTAAGTGATACCTCCGCCCATAGACACTCCCATTGCCAGAAGGCTTGCAAGTGCATTGCCGGTCGAATTAGTACACTATTTTCTTGAAGGACCCTACGTCGAATTTGTTGGGAAATGCTTCAGTCGGTAGCTGGTTCCACATCGAGAGTGCGCGCGGCAAAAACTGCCTTAAAAAACGCTCTGTTATGGAACGCCTCAACGCCCGAGCAACTCCTCTGAACTGGTACTGGAACACTCGGTACTGGGGTAATGGTAGAGGTTGCAGAGAGGCCCCTCATCTCTACGCAACGCCATGGGATTAAACCGCTCGGAAAGTGACGGGTCGTCGACGATTTGAATTGCTGAATGGTGAGTGTGAGAACGTTTTTGGGAAAAAATAAAATCTTATTATCCAATTGTCTATTACACATTGTATTGTAACGCGATGCATCGCGCCAAAGCCCCATCAGGGGACGCATATCACTTTACCCAATCAAAGGTTCGAATGAGGAAAGCAATTATCCACGTGCAAACACGTGCCGCGCAGGAAGCGCCCGCCCTCGCGGAAGACCACCTGCTTCATGTTATCTCAATTCCACAATTGACACTATTTCTGTCGGTTGCATATACAACGTTACTGATGCAATATTAATAAAACAAGAATCCTAATAACTTTATAAAGAGTGTAAAATAATAGAAGGCATATCACAGAATACTGTTGTCACACGTTACTCTGTTCATTATATACTAGTTTTAACATACAGTTAACAGATTGTGTCGGATTTACAATAAAACTGTGATAAAAATGGACTCGAGTCGGTGGACATTTTCAGCAACTCCATGAAGACCTTCCGCCGAGTGGTTTTAGCAACCTTGCTGTATTCGTTATTTGCTATTATTATTATTATTTCCCTTATTCCTAGATAATTATGTATTATACGGTGTATATCCGCGGATGCTTGACAGACCTATGCGACTTCTTCAAAACAAAGAGTCCCCTTGTGAGTTGTGTGCTGCGATATTGCGGGCTACTCGATTGTGAGGAAGTTGCATGATCTGGTAAACTCTGCGCCTTCTTAAATTCTAATGTCATTTTCACACATGTATATCGTTTCTATAACATATTTTCATACATATCTGATTGTCCATTGGATTTCAACATGTGTTATGTTGTAACAAAGTACACAATATGTGAGAAGTGAAACTTCTTTGACAAACAAATTTTTGAATCTTGTTCATATTTCTACAAATCTAAAACTTAAGATTTCCGAGACTTAGAGGGAGGGAAAAAGGAAGATATGTTAGGAATTTTATGAATTTAATTGTCATTAAAATATTAAGTGTCGAAAATTAATACAAATTATAAATTTATTTCTTCGGTATTTTAATTAACAATTCGTCATTTGAGATTTTAATAAATCATAAAATATAAACTACTATCTCTACTAATTCCGTAGAATTCTGACATTTCAAAAGTGTTACTACTAAAAAAGTTCTCCACCGAAAAAGGGAAAAATTTGACTTAAATGAGGGCAATAAAAAATGCTAGTAATGCTATTTTTTATGTTTTCACCTAAAAAAAGGTAAATCTAAATATTTACTTAGTCAAGTGACCTAATACAAAAATAACAAATATTTCAATATCACGAATAATATATCAAATTAACTTTAAATACTTTATTTTATTCTTTAGCTGGCATCACTGCCTACTAATTCCAGGTTTAGTAAACCTTTTAAAAAAATAAAATGTTATCTTCACTTGTGCGTTTTTCACTGTTTGCGATGAAAAGGGACGTAACTACCACTCGCCGTTAAACCACTTTTAATGTTGAGCACCGCACTTAATAAAATGGGTACATTAACTAACAATAAAATGTATGTATAGACTCAGATGTTCAGACTCGTATAGAAATTGAAAAATGTGCCCGGCTATAAAGGTTTGCCATCACTGACATGTCAAAAAATGATAGCTGTCAGAATTCTACGGAATAAAAAATCAGAGTATAATATTTCATAAATTCTCTTTACGAAATTTTAATTTTAAAAATAGAATTCTATAAGGTAATTCGCCCTTCTCACTCCCTCTCAATCGGTCTCAACCGCTCTCTCCCTTTTCTTCGACCAAAATGCTGCACATCTCATGCGCCTAAAGAAGTTTCACTACAAAAATAAATACGCGTAAACTTAGTTACTCGTAATCTTAAAAAATCTTGTAAAGATGTTTTATTTAGCAAGATAAAGAAAAACAAATGTTATTTTTTTTAAATTTGATAGCGCCGTCATATAAAAACAAAGCAAACACCACGGATGTACGCTGTCTAAAATATTTGAGATGATTGATATAAAAAGCGTGCCAGAATTTTTAATTCGTATGGAATATTAAGAACTACTACATACTAAGTTGCAGCATTCATCATTTTAGATTTTGAGATATAGATGATGAAAATGTAAAACAAATCGATCCCGTGTCGCTCTTGGCTGTCATTGGTCAAATGGAAATATAGATAATTGTATGTAAATGGTCCAAGATCCTCCCACATAACAAACAATTATACCCATCGTAGACTACATCAAAAAGTCATCAGGAGATTGGTATCACAATCTTGACCTGTATCAAGTCTTTTGACCTAAATTGCAATAAACGCACATAAATCACTTACCCGAGCCTTAATCCGTGTGCCCTGGTCAGCTCGGCCCATCCTAATCACTATTTCCAACGACACCTCACTGTTAATAAAAATAAGGATATCGTTTATAGTTCTATTGAGGGTCTCAACAATTTTAATGGTATCGTTACAGAATGAAAATAGTAAGGCAAATCGGAATGGCGTTTTTGAGAAGTTTGAACAAGATCAATGCATCTCTTTAGCTAGATATTTTACTAGAAAAATATACTAAATTTTTATTAGAAAAATATATTAAAATTCGTTGCAACACTTTCGATATTGTACTAGAAATCGTATGGTTCAATTCTCATATCATATCTAAGGAATAGTCCTTCCAATTCTTTTGAAGCGACGCGGACCCTTTGTAACAAATCAATTTTCAATCATTTGTAAGAACACATCTATAAATATCTCCATTATTTTGGAGCCCTATGGAAATGCTCACGGAATTAGGAGGAAAAATAATTAGTGGAACACAAGTTATAGGTAATCACAGTTTATTTATTAAATCTAACGTATTTTAAATATCCGCTTAGAATACAATTTTGATTTAAAACAATGAATCAGTGTGTCGAGACAAGTTCGCCCGAACGCTCACTTTCCGCAGAGGGTCGAGCGTCAACGCTCTCGAAGGCAGCAGCTTCGATTACGTTGATGAGACACGGTCTCATTAGTTTTTTTTTGGGTTTAAATTACAGCTACGATGTATATTACGAAGAGTGGGGGTCATACGGATGAGCCCACACCTACGTCGGGGCTTAATTAGTTCATTACTAATAAAGTCCAGTTAATGAGTCGGCTTCTGAGGAGGTGGGGAAAGTCTTAAGGAATGAAAGGAACCTTACGATCATTGCCTGGGCTTCAACACGCTCATCTCGTTCCCTTTGTACGCGTAAGCCTTGAAGGGACACACCTTCTTCCCGTCCTTGTACAGGTAGAGGCGGAAGCAGGTGTCGCAGAAGTACGTGGGGTCGAAGGGGACAATGTCGCAGTCCTTGACGACCCACTTGGTGCTGTGCTCCGAGCATATGCTGCAGTAGTTGACCTGGCTCAGGCCCACCTGGCTCACGAACGGGAACATCCGTCGCAGAGGGTCGCGGGGGTGCGCCAGCCGCGCCTCCGAGAAGGTGAACGGGTGCTCGCAGTCGCCCAGGTGCACGTAGACCTGACGGAGGACACGCGACCGCGAGTAAGGAGTGACAGTTCAAAAATAACCGATGCATCAAATAAGGCAACATACATCGGGATATCCGAGCCTGATCCTGACGTCTTCCAGCTTGACGTCCATGGAGTGAACGGGAAAGGTGCCCATGTTCCGTGCGGCCGCCCATTCCCGCAACTCCAGAGTGATGTCGGCGCAGCCTTTGCGTTCGTCCACGTAGAACACGTTGTTGATAAACATGAAACTAGACGGAAATAGGTCCTGAAAAAGGATATTACAATTTCATCAGATTTAAAATACCATCAAATAATTTTTTCCAAAAATGTATTAATCCATTGCAAGGTAACGAGCTGTTATTGTAGAAATTAACAGATATGTCTATTGGTTTTAGGGTCAAAGGTGTCACGCTTACAACGAGGCTAACACTGCTCTTCCCTTATTCCCGTCTTTTATAAATATACTTACATATATTTAAGTTCAGAGGATTCTATTACAAGAAAATATTGGATTAATTAAATTTTGTTTCAAAGAAATGGAGCATGGATTGTTTACTTGGAACTAGAATTATGGTGAGTGAAAAAACAGGTTTTGGAACACCTCAAACAATGTGTCCGCTTCCATTTGCTTTGTTATTGAGACACAGTTGATGCAATACCTTAGGTGAAGTTGAGGGTACGGCATCTGGGTTCTCTGAGACATCAATGCCTGTAGAGATGTCATTGAGACAGTAAATGTGATCTCTCAGAACCCAAAGGGGCTGTTGCCCCAGCACCACGATTTCTGACACCAAGAGCGAATGACGGACAGTCTGTAAGCAATGAGAGACATATTTTAAATATTCTTCAAAACCGAGAAATGTTGATTCACTTTAATAAGAGCCATTTTAACTTTATATTTTGCAATATTATAAGCTTGTCCAGAATATGTATAGCCCCTTTAAGTTTTAGTGTTTAGAAATTTGTTGGATTAGAGGCCAAAAGAATGTTAATGGCAATACTTCGGGTCAAAAATAAATTTCTCAACGCTATCTATACAAGAAATTATCAATTTTATGCAATGATTACATTGTTGTCCAGAAGATTTAGAAGTTTAAAGCGAAATACCAACATATTTTGCTGAATGTGAATAGGGGAATGGCCGATATATTCTAACTCTGTAGATGATATCTTTCCCTGATTGCAGCAACTCATTGTCAGGTTCATCATCCTGAAAAAAAGACCAACATAAGAATTGTTATTTTTCACATTTCTTTCTTATAAATGCTAAATCTGTATCAAGTATGTGAACACCCTTTTTAAACCAATATATTATGTATTAAATATTGGTTAGAGCTAACCACATACAATAGAACTAAATTAAATGGATATAATATTTTATAGAATGATGTTTACTATAATTATATATAATAATAATTGATTTTAATTTTCAAAAAAGGTATTAATTTAAAATAAAACTATGTAAGATTTTACTGTTTTTTCTAAATTGCAAAAAAAGACACAGATATTATGGCTCCAAAACCACTCAAATTTATATGAGCCAATGGATTGCCTAATTATATCCTACTATATATAAAAATGCTTTAAGTTTTTATTTTATTATTGGAGTGCAGAAAGTGTTAGTTTTAATATAAATTACTTACGTCTTCAGGTGGTGGTATAAGGCATACTGTTCTATATTTTAACTTCCGGGAATAGCAATTCTTTTTATCAATTTCTTTTCGGAACATTAGATTCTTGCAGATATGTAGAGAACTGGAAGCTTGAGGATTATAGCAACTGTTCAGAGCAGAAGCCTTGCTAGTAGGTAGTGACATTGACATCTTTAATTCATGACCAGTTTCCAAATGTTTTGGGCTAAATGAAATAATTATTAATTACTTTAATCGATCGAGTAATAATACTTTATTTTTAATTTACAACTTACTCGCAAAATTCGACGAGTTTATCATATTCCTCATCGTCTATGTTACCGACAAATGAAACAATTTGTTGTTCCAGTTCCAGCTCCACGTCCCCCCTCGACGTAGACTGCGTATGTATTGGTAAATCCTGAAAGACCTTCGGTAAGTTTTTTGTAATCAACGACTTTGTAATACCACTACCGGTGACTTTACGCCAATGGGGCCCTTCATCTTTTGCATATAAGTTACTGATTTTTGCTTCTTCATTTTCACAAAAGTCAGGCTTCAAAAACTTATTTAAGTTATTCTGTATGCTCTCTTGATCTCTTTTTAATGTTTCCTCTAATTTATCGTCGTATGGCATTGAGGCCATAATTTAAAGAAACTATTATATTTAATCACAATTTAACTCTACTAAACTTTAATAACAGAAAATCATTTAATATCACAAACTATGAAACTATTTAAAATTAAGTTAACATTTTTTAGACAAGTTTTTGTAACAAGAAAACAGACTAAAAATTATTAAATGAGAGTGATACCATTTCACAAACATTGACATAACTGGTGACCCTTTTCGGAAAAAACAGTTTTATTTTTTTATTCATAAAAATAAATACACTATACTTACAGTAATAAGCCAGTACGATAATGTTAAAATTATAATAAAGGAAATTATATTAAATACCAAGAATAATATATCATATCACTACTGTGAAAGTGTGAACTCACTCTGCGAACATATTATTGTAATGTGTTTGGCAAGGGGTACCAGGGGGCTTAGTCAATATGCCTTAACAGTAGTGTATGTAGGAAGTCGTAAACTAAATTTATGTGAAAATAACAATATGAATATCGATCTTTAATTAACTGTCAAGAGATTCATTAACACTCTGATTTAACTACTTTACTGCGACATATCCACGATGTCAAACGCCTTCCTGTAATCATAGCATTAAATATAAAGCATCTTTCAATCCAGCATCCAGAATAGGGTTTAGGTACATAATTAATTGCGTTCAGTAAGTTGCTGCTTGTACTACGCAAGGGTCTAAACCCATGCTGGCAATAGTCGGGTGCAGAGCTTCTTTGAATATTTCAGCGGGAGTCAATAATATAGCCACCGAAAGTATAGTCCTTTTCATGAAAGAAGTCCCCCAGACGCAGCGCTGTAATCGCATGACGTAATGTTGCCATTTATGAGTAAAAAATTTACCTATTTTACTTAGCATATTTAATTTATCAAATAATACTATTTTCTGCATACTTCGATGAAACAATATTTTTGTTATGTAAAAAGTATATTTTTATTTATTTATATAAGCGGTGTTCTACATACTTCCAGGGATAAGATGAGAAAATAGGGTAAAGAAAAGCATTACAATTTTTTATTCAGAGTTTTATTGAATAATTTTAGATCAGCGGTCATAGGAACATCACTGTCTGAAGAGTGGATGGAAACATAATCAGATTCTGTTTCAGTGTCACTAGCCGTAGATATAATTGTTCTTTTTGAAGTGAAACTTCTTTATCGAGGTTGGAAAAAAATTTAGTGTAACATTTTTTCATTACGCGTCACATTTTTCGGTTACGCGCCATGTTGCTTTTTGAAGTCAACTGTCAAACTTCTTTATCGGCGTTGGAATGAAACTTCTTTATCGACGTATGGGAGAAATTTTGTAGCAACTCGTCACGTTTTTCAATGATAGTAATAATTCTATTACAATTAATGAAAATCTATAATAATCTTCGTAGTAATAAGGTAAAATGAAATATTTGTATTCATATCTATGATAATAAAAGCCTTTTGTTAAACTTTATCTAATTTAACGAATTTCTGTAAAATTGCATATAGTAGATCATTTTTCGAAAAATAAGATCATAAAGAAGTTTCACTTCTTACATGTGTACACCTAGTACACGCACAATTTATTTATATTGATACTATTTCGGATGCGGGCGACTCTTCTACGGGGTGACAATTTTTTTCTAAGTACTCGCCGCTGTTATACCTTCATTTGTAATTCTTGTTACAGTTCTCTCTGACACACCTACTTTAAATAATGAACAATTAAAAATGATAATAACTTTAAGTTTATATTGCTTATGTACTATGTAATATATGTTTTAATTTAAGTTACCTAGTTTCATTCGCTATGTATTTGTTCAATTTTGTCGCAAAAATGAATTTATATCATAAAAGTCCCATCAATACAGCAAAAAAATATTATGTGGCAACTCTAAAAAGTACCTGTTATGGCGGCGACTCTCTTCCCAACATTGTTTAGTGGTATTAAAACACCTTGATTCTTTTGTTCCGCTTCACAGAACTCTTTCATCTTCAATATAATTTCTCAAGTCGAACTTTTTACAACTTTTGGCATTGTAAACAATCTATAAAATGCACTAAGCTAGTTAAAAACTCACAAAAATCTACCACAACAAACGAACTTGATAACATCGACGAACGACAACATGGCCGACCTGTCAAATTTAGTTCCAAAAATCTCCGCGGGACTTCTTTCATGAAAAGGACTCTATAGGTCTATGCGGTTCCACAGAGTCTTTTCTATCACCTTTGGGTATCACTCTCGTGATTTTCACTCACAACGAATCTCGTGATTTTCCAGCAATCTATAAAGTAACAGTTATCCAGACATAGATTATATAAATAGGCAAGGGGCTCAGCAAGTACAGATCGGCAATCCCTCATAATACATGCTGGTATGCCGTCCGGGCCCGCCTAGCGCTTCGGCTTATATTCAAAAAAAAAATCGAAAAATCTTTATTCAATAACATTTATAACAAATATTGGAGCCCCTGAACTAAGTCTAAGGAGACCTGTACATCAGGGTACTCCGCTTATATAATTAAACTTCAATTATGAATAAACATTTCTCAAAGAGCTGACAAGAAACAAATGGTATTTTTATACACAAACTTAATGGTAGGGGAGCTCACGATGCTAAATGGGGATTTACTCGAGCGTCGTAGAGACCTATTGGGATGCAAAGCTTAGATAATAAGAAGAAAAAAATGTTATATGATAAATTCCTTTTCATCGATGGGGGAAGCGGCTATAGATAGTTAAATATGTAAAAAAAAACTGTTGCATGGACATCCTCGAGCGCGTCAGATATTGATAGCATCTATGCCCTACGTATTTTTAATAATGTACGTATGTTAATCTGATCGTTTGCATGATGCGGGTGGTTGTATTTAAGGGTTGAAAATGAAAAAAAAAAAATTATCGAGCGCGTCAGATTTTCTAAGGGAGTGTTAAGTGCACCAAAAAAAAGCTCTCATTCACTAATCTGACGATTTCGATGGGACGCAAACCCACAGCCATTTTCATAATTTGCAAAAAAAAATCGCAATTTTGAAATACTCAAGCGCGTCAGATTAAGATATATGTGGTTCATCTTTATGTTCTAAACGTACTGTCTCATAATCTGACGATTATCTAGAGGGATTCGCCTGATCTGACAAAAAAAAAATAGAAAAACGGTTCACCTAAAGGGCCATCCCTGCAACTTCCCGCTAATTCCATTCCTGGGCGCTTAAAATTGATATTTTGAGCTCGCCGAGTTCAAAGAAATAATATTTCTATGCATTTGAGCTCTACCAGCTCGAAAGTCTGATAGAAGTTTCATAGAACACTATTTTTGGAATTTTCAAACCGCAATAACTTTTGAATGGATCAAGCAATTTTCACGCGGTTGGCGGCATTCGACGCAGTTTTATCATCCTCATAAGTAATTTTAATTGATCGAACCACAAATTTCGGAGTAATCCCGAAAAAACACATTTTCGGGTTTCTTTCGTTCACGATATCTCTCGAACGAATCAACCGCTTTTGACCAGCTTGGTGGCGATCGACGTGGTTTTTCAAGCTCAAAGGCGGATTAGTTTTTGAAGTTGATCGATAAAGAAACCACATTAAAAATTTTTTTGCGATATATCAAAATTTCTCAAAATTTCAAATCGGTTCAAATTCACAGGAAATGTAATTTTGAGGGAAATATTTAGAACGCCGTTTAGTAGATTCCGATCGGTTTAGTCGTTCAAAAGTTATAAGCGAGTACACACACATACATACAGACATAGTGACAACATCACGGAGGTAGTCAGGGAAGCTTCCTATGACCTTAAAACGTCAAGATCTGATGAAAACTCGATTTTCGCAAAACGGGTAATAACCAATAACTTCCCGAATTGTTTAAAATTTAAAAATTTTCTTAGCGGGAAGTCAAAAATTTTTTTATTTTTTTTAAATCATTGAACTTAATTAATTGAAAAGCTCAGGAAATAGCATGCAAATAAATAAGTGTATGCTTTTTTAGTAGAATACATGTATTTATTAAAAAAATACTTTAAAAAAACCTTAAAACAATTTAATGTTTTATAATTAATTGATTAATTAATCATCATCTTCATCCGTAGTATCATCTTCCTCTTCTGGCTCAATTTCATTCTCAGATTACGTATCTGTAACAAAAAATTATTAAAATATTTAACAATATTTTCTTTATGAACAACGTGTTTTTTCAATTATTGAAGAAAAGAAATACCCGATTCTGGAGTATCATCAAGAATATCAGGTGTTATGACTACATCTTCGTACGCTTTCGGCAATTGGTCACCTGCAAACCAGTTCAATTTAAATTTCTCGTCGACAATTTTCCATCCATAGTCCGTTGGTAAATGATCAGTAATTTTTGCATTATGGGCATTACTCCATAAGCATGCAATGAATTTTGTGCGTAACACTTGCTGGAGTAACTCCGATTCACAGGGTGGCAAGTTGCAGGCATCGTAATGCCGGACACTCAAGGAGAAGGGTTGCGACTTGTCTTTTACTTTGTATGTCCTATTGAAGATGATAATCCTGGCTTGATTGACATCGTCTAACTTTTTCAACCCATACAAGTGGCAAGTAAAAGAATGTATAATGTTAAAAGAATCCTGCACATTATGCTCATTTGATCCCAAATCCACAAATGCTTCTTGGAAAATTTCTGAATTCATTAATAATTGTAAAGGTTTCTTTTTCCCTCGTCGGTACAATGCTGGGTTGAAATCGCAACCAGTGAATGCATGCAAAGCTGGAAGCGCTTTCGAAATTTTTGAACCTAATTTTTTGTAGAGAGCGGATACGTCGATGCGTCGGCGGGCATTGCCAACTCCAAGATCCATCCAAACTCCTACTCTTGCTTGCAGGTGTTCCATATTTGCTAACATGATGACCACTATATCAGTATCAGAAGTTCTGACAGTAATGGTAGAATCTTCATTTTGTTGGCAAGCAACAAATGCTATCTTCGTATCCGCTTCTTCGTGATCAGGGCATGACAACTCATTATTAATGATGCG